TTTTTAAGTATAAGAATGTTGTGACAGTTTGATATCTAAAAGGAATATCTGTCCAAAACTGGTTCAATTCAGTTCCGTATTTACAAAGATTTGATGACTTTTGCAAAATTCAGCATCCTATGCAGATGATACAAACTAGTCATCACCTCTTGTAAGGTAAAATATTTTGATGGGACTCTTATTAATCCAGCTTAATTCAAGCCAAGAGATTATCTGACATTGATATTTTTGTTTGTTTTCTTAATTAAGTGTTTAATAATCAATTTTAATACATTGTAGCATGGATTAAGCCGTGCAAAATTAAATATTGTCCGAATAATTCAAATGACGATCAGCGGCTTTCAAGCATTGTTATTGTGATTAATAAAACTTCATTCTCAAAACACTGACACTGAATACTTTAAAGACTTTAATTAAAAAAATAATCATATCAAAATCTCGTGCTGTAATAGTGGTCTACATCCTATTTCAAAGCTTTGTATGTTTTATACCTTTAGCAAAATAAAATATCTTTCATAATTTGAAAGGTCTTGCAAAACAAGCGTTGTATAATAAAATGTAAGTAAACTAAACCATTCGAGCATGCTATACTGTGCTATTCATCATACATATTCAAGGAATCTGTTTGTCATATTTAAAGGTACATTGCAACATAGAAATAAAATCGTTTTGTTTCTGTATTTATTTATTTTTTTGCATAATTTCCCCATTTTATTTTAAAACAAAAATAACATATGCAGCTAACAAAATGCATGTTTATGGCATTCTGCATTTCATAATATATATTTCATAATAACAAATCAACACATTATAACACAATATAATATAAATAAAATACTTTTCTCTTTCATCCAATCACAATAATTGTCTTATATCTTTAAAATTCATGGGAAGGAAATAAATAATTATATACAGATTTGTTTAGCTATTGTTAAAATTTTAATACAATATTTACATTATTTAACCTTAAAATAAGTCTTTGTTTTTGATTAAAATATATATCTATTTGGGTTGTTTAATATGAAAATTTTCACATGCAGCCACCACACTAAGGATTGTAGAGATTTGGGAATTTATTCACAAAACGTTTAACTAAAATATTTCAAGAATGCTGCCTTTTCATTGGCTAAAGGATAATGTTTGCACAAGAATTGTAATTATCAGCCAATAAAAAGGCTGAATTCTTTAAATATTCTAGTTTAAGATTTCTTGAATAAGAGCCCTGTTTGGGTATATGATGTTAAGTATTCAAGATAATTTTGATTTTTTTGCCTGGTGACATTTTTTTTTATAAGTTTTTATAACACAGTTTTAATCATCAGAAAAGATTCATTTTTTTACTTTTCTTTGTGTTAATGATAAGCATTAATAAATACGAAATATTATTAAATCATAAATTTCTCCATTTCATCATTAATAAAATCACTTTAACGAAATTTAGTCAGGTCAAAGTTTAAATTTATTTCTACATAATAAGCTTTATCTATTAGCTGATTTGTTTTTCTTAATTTGTGTTTGCCTCTTTTAGTATGTGTAACAGCAATAAGCTTCTGAAAAAAGCAGACTCCATCTAAACATTTAAAAGTCAGCCCAAAATCGTTTCACCTTTGTCTGCGATATTACCTGGTGGAAGCAGACATTAAATAAAACTATTTCACATACGCACACGATTCAACTTTATTTTTTTTGTTATTTTTGTTCCAGAGATGGAACAGCCCTATCAAAAAAATCTGCTCCCTAAATTTATAATCCATTCTGAAAAGTCTTAACTGTGTTTCTATCAAGCAAAACAAACTGACCATGAGTTATATCAAATTTAAGCTACGATTAAATGATTATACAGATAAATATTAAATATTGGATAGTATTATTGTGTTAATATACAATAATTCCATTCTGTTAAAGTCATCATTTCTTTAATGCCATTTCATTTATAAAAGACGCTTATTCTTGTATGGGCCTTATTCCGGGAAAAACCAAAATTGCAATCATTTGAATACGTAATTTACTCTTTAATTTTTATGAATAAACCTAAACTAAACAAAAAATAAATTCGATATCATAATTTGATTCATTTTCTGTGCTTAAATGTTAAAATTCGGGTGAAAAGAAGTGTTGTCAAGCAATGAACCATACACCCCAGCAGGTACATTGTTCAAGCAGTCCATAGAGGCCGTCATGTTTTTTTACTCTTTTGTAGGTAGTGAGGGCATTTACAAGACATTAAAATCTGACCCTACACTGTGTTTTAATTTCAGCATGTGACCTCATTTCAATGTGTGCAGATAGAAATGAGATCAAGGGTCATAACTCTGACAGTAATTATTGAAAATAAACACTGTGCATACATTTCAAGTGAATTGGATGATCACTTTGGCCTAAATAAAGTGTCCACAAGTAACTGTGGATGATGAAAGACTGACGACGGAAGGAGGTGTCAAAAATATACAATCACATTTCAACATAGGCGTATAAAACTGAGAATCAATGTTAGAGTTTCCTGGGATTTAGGCCCCCTGAATGCTGTCTTTAAGAGGAATGTTTTCTTCTTCTGTGCTACGTTTTCTGTTTCTTTGTATCTTTTTTCTTTCCCTTTCCTTTTTCCTTAGCGGATCGTCGTTTTGATAACTGTTTTTGATGTTCTTTCTCCATATCTCTTTCACTTATACTCAACCGTAATATCTACAAAATAATGTGATGATCTATATACGTATTCTAGTTATAAATAGGAAGCTGTGTAAGGCACTGGCCCACTAACCGGGGGGCCCAGTTTCTATCTTGGTGGTGCAGGACAAAGGGCCTCACAAGGAACAGATATAGTTATTCAGATGGTACAAAAAAAACTGAAGTCCCATGTGCACATTGCAGAAGCCTTGATACAAGGACCTTGAGAGTTGCAATTCAATATAAGAATAGGCTGAGCACCAATATCCACATAGCACACTGTATGGTGTTTGCCGTCTTCATTACCTCTATTTCATTTATGTTTTAAACAAAATACAAGATTTATGATTATTTATTTTTTATATGAATTCCAATCAATAGTTTCAGTAAAACAAGGAGATAAAATTAAAACTAGTTATTATATTTCCTGAGAGTAAAAATTGACTAACAGATACATCACTACTATTACTGTATCAGCTAGTTAAGTACCTGTTTTCCATAAGTATGTTTCATAATTTATTACTCTACTCTGTTACTAAATGCCACTAAAAGATCATATATATCAGTGTTTGGTGATTTAAGAGTTATTATTGAAATAGTATCTGCTTTAATAGTCTTCTCAATGGGTTTAGTAATCACAGATAAAGTATACTTGGGTATTAATATGTCATAGGCATGGAATGGAGCTTAATGTCTCACTTAATCTGAGACTAACATATGGTCACATAATATACTAGAGAGAACAATTTCCCCAGGACCATAGCATTTCTCCTATTTTTTTTTTAACAAATTCTAACTTGCACATAGGGGTCTTTAACATTGGGAGTAAACCGAAGGACCCGTACAGAAAACCCATGCAGCTGGACAGGCGACCCTATTCCTAGTCACAGGTAATCAAAACCATGCCCCTTGATTAAATGATCTTATAATCTAAAGCTCACTTAAATAATTCATCCCCTTCCCAACCTACACACACATACACTCAAGATAGAGAGAGAGAAATGGGGTTTAACGCCCACTTGACACAAATTGGTAATTTCAGGACTAACATATGGCTTCAATTTTATTATTAAACTGTAATAAATAGAATACAAGTTTCTTTACCTCTCTTACTACATATTCTTCTTCAAGTTCTTCTGGAGATATATTTCGTAATTTTTCTATTGTTTCATACAGACTTGGACATTCAGACATTTTTTCTGGCGTTCCCAGGGCAGTTTTAAATAGCACTAACGCCACCCGAAACATAACTTTAACACCTGTAAAACGAAGACACTACCTACTTAATCCAATATAACTATTAACAGTAAAATATTAATTAGAACATTTAAGAGTCTCAACTTCATTTTAGGGATCATCAATCCCTTACAAACTACAATAATTTGAAAATTGAATCTTTAAAAGGAATATCAGTCAAACATTTACAAAGATATAATGAATTGAAAATTTGTCAGCATTCAGCTTCCACTGCAGATGATATAAACTTATAGCCACTGTTAAATTTTTTTGATGAGCCTCTTTTGAACCCAACCGACTGCAAACTGGGAGAATATCTATATTTTGTTGTTTTGCTTTTTTGATCAAATGTTAAATGATCAATACCCATCCATAAAAGCTTCATTTACATTGACATTTGGCATACTGTTTGTTCTGTCAATATTTTGTTGGGCAGTTTTCCTTATAAGCTTAGAAGGAAGAGTATAACATCACATTTGGGCAATGCTCTAGTCTAAGAACATAGTACAGAATCTTATTCAAAATGATATTAACCAATTAGAATCAAAGATATAGTGTTTCAAAGTCTCAAGGCATCCATCTAATAATAACACCTATCCCATGTTTAAACATTCTATTTTAATTAGAAGCAGAGTTATTCTAATAATAGTTATCTGCTATAACATCACTTTCGAGCAATGTTGTAGTCTAAGAACACATTAAAGAATCTTATTCAAAATGATATTGAGCGTACCTTCACAAAAGAATATATCCCAGACTCTCAATACACAGCCCCAAGGTAAAGATCTTGTATAAACACACATAAACCATTCTGTCATATACATTATAGGTTCTACACGCTGAGTTTTCTACAAAACAATTATAATATATAAACATTTATAGAAACATAGCAACACACCAAACAACTAATAGATAAAACTCATTATAGGTTCTACACGCCGAGTTTTCTACAAAACAATTATAATATATAAACATTTATAGAAACATAGCAACACACCAACCAACTAATAGATGACACTCATAGGTTCTACACGCTGAGTTTTCTACAAAACAATTATAATATATAAACATTTATAGAAACATAGCAACACACCAACCAACTAATAGATGACACTCATAGGTTCTACACGCTGAGTTTTCTACAAAACAATCACAATACATAAACATTTATAAAAACATAGCAACACACTAACCAACTAATAGATGACACTCATTATTTATCTTTTTGTAAAGCAAGGAGAAATCAAATTGATTATTTTTTCTTAAACCGATAGAAAATGGTCATCAATCAATTAGAATCAAAGTTATGGTGTTTCAAAGTCTCAAGGCATTCATCTAATAAACACATACCCCATGTTTAAACATTCTACTTCAATTAGAAGCAGAGTTATTTCTGCTATATTTGAAAGGCGGAGGACAAAAAAGACTTGATCTAGTTTAGTTCTTTTCTTGTAAGATAGCACTATAGATAATGATGATGATGATAATATGTACTACAATTATCCACCAATCATCATCACCATCATAATAATAACTGTGTGAAAGAGAAAATAAAAGATAATATAGTATACCAGTAGTTTATGAATGGAAGGCGACATCTTTCTAATTAAACCATACAAAACTTCTCCATCTAATTGTACAGCTTCCTGTAATAAACACAATAATATAATTTCATTAAGAATAATTGATACTTGTACAAGGGTGGATAGTATATTTCATTATAAGATTCATCTATATAAATAAAATCAAAGATGTCTGTGTGTGTGTATGTTCGCCTATCACACTTTGTCGCCATGCTCCACCCCCACATACATGGTATCAAATTAACCAACATGACCCTGTGAAAGTTTTAGGTCATCAAATTTCATGGAAATTGGGTCCATGGCAAATCAGGTATCCTACTAGTATTATATACATTGGAGAAAGGTAGTCACGGTCACCCAGAACCTCCTAGTCTTCAACATACGGAGGGTCTGGGAGACTGGGACCGTTGTCAATATTTGATGAAAAGTTCCATTGCCCATGCAATTAAATAAGTGATTAGCCAATCAAATTGTCTGTTACATCGATTTCTAATCTTCTTATCGTGCAGTGTGCAGAACTGTGGGTAAACATTCACATTAAAAGCAGAAAAAAAAAAAAGCGAAAGTTGTACTTTCATATAGCCGCTTGGCACACTGACCCTGATTAATTAATCGAATGACTGACATCATAGGTCAGAAGTCACTCGTATGTCTCCTGATACTAACCTCCCACTACAACCTGTCAGATCTTATGTAGTGGAGTCCATCAAAAGTATAAAAAAATAATAAACGAAATATAGATCTGGGCCCTTATTCACGAAAACTTAAACTAAGTTACAACCAAAATTTTAGGAAATACTGCAACTTTATTGGATATATGCAAATTGATTTTACTGGTCAGCCTATCGAATTGCAGTATTTCTTAAAATTTTGTTTTCATGAATAAGGGCTCTGTATTTTAATCAGATAGCCAGAGTACCCATAAGCTAAATCAGCATTAAATACATAATGGTGATTTTCCAATCGACTAGAAGCATTGGGCAATAAACAGATGTGCACCTGTGTACAAAAGAAGACTAGGTAAAATAGTTGTTAATTTAAACTACATAAGAGAGAGAGAGAGAGAGAGAAATGGGGTTTAACGTCCACTCAACACAAATTAGGTCATTTCGGGACTAACATATGGTTTAATTTTCTTTCAATAATTCGCTTGCACGTAGGAGTCTTTAGCAGTGGGAGGAAACCGGAGGACCCGGAGAAAACCCACGAGGTTGGACAGGCGACCCTACTCCTTGTCACGTACAACCGGGGATTCAAAACCACGCCAGTTGACTCAATGACAGGTCTTATGATACAGCGCGCACGTGCTAACTATTCGGCCATCCAACCCCCAAAAACTACATAAGGAATTACATACAAGATGCCTAGGACGAAAAACAAATGACAGTCCATGTTCAAAAGAAGATTAGGTTTTATAAAATCTGTAGATATATACTGACCAGTCCAGGACTGTAATAACCAGGTAGATATTTTTCACAGATAGATACTAAACACCAGAAAGCCTGTTCTGCTGGCATGTGCATTAATAATAAAGCTGCTAATGGTGCCTGGGCTTGACAATATCCTTCTTCAGGCTTGTGTATACTGTATGCTTTTAGTACAAAAAATAAATCTTCTTGTCTGTAAAGAGAAAATAGAAACATTAAAGACTGGAGTGGGAGATTAGGGAAACATCGTCCTATTGTCTCCCTGTCATTTTATATCCACATGGAAGGCAAACTAAAATGCTGCCAATGATAAGGGCAAATTGATTATAAGACAGATTGATTGGGTTCTCTGAACCAGGATTGATTTATGATATCATACAGAATCATTGTTTGGTTAATCAGGTAAAAATAAGCTCATTAAACACTCAGAGATGCACCATTAAAAATATCAATAGGTGTTATCTTTTCAAGAGGGCCAGGTTCAAAGAGAGAGAAAAATCAGGCTTAACATCCACTCCACTAGTTAATTTGGGACTAAAATACGGTCCAATTCTAATTTAATAATTCGCTTGTGTTTAGGGTTCTTTAGCAGTGTGCAGACACCGGAGGACCTGGATAAAGTCCACCATATTGGGCAGGAAATCACTTACAAGCTTGAGATCGAAATCACCTCAATTGACTGACAGATCTTATGATCTAAATCGCACACATTATACCACTCGACCACCTAACTACCCCCAGGTTTAAAGACTTGATATATAAATTTAGCTTACCCATAGCCATCTTTATTTTTAAACATTTCATGTTGAGGAAACTGACGATCTAAATCTTTTTTAATATCATCTAAACACTTTGGATCGCCTGGTAAACTTAAATAATGCTGAAATACATTTTTAAAATTATCAAATATTAATTTTCATCACAAAAATTATAGATATTATGCATCTTAAAGGCAGATTTTCTGGGTATACAAAGACATGCTTTATTTTTGTGAGATTTTTTGGTGATATCTTTCTTAAAAGACAATACAGGTCCTTATTAAGAGTTTTCTGGTAGACAAGGAGTCTTAACCCTCTAGCACTTAGCTGTCTTAAACTTTAACTGCTCTATCCAGCATTTCAAAACAGAAATGAACTGGGTTTAATGTCCTATTGTTGTAAACCGACTGGGCTAATTAAGACGGGCATAACCTTACAGTGTGCTATGATGAAATTTTGCCCTTATAGCAGCACTACGGCCCACTCTTATTTCGAATTCCATCTGTCAAGGATTCTTTTACATGCACACAAATGTCTACACAAGACCTAGGTTTTTCAAAAACGACTAGACACTAGAAACTGTTCCTTATCATGCCCTTTGTCCTGCACCACTGACAAGGGGATACCATGCTGTAAAATCTTGATGTACTTTCTCGGCTGACACCAGGATAGAACACAGGACTTCCAGTCCGGGCTAGTGAGCCAACATCTTACTCACTGAGCCACCGTGGCTTCCATGTCAAACAGCCCAAGTCACACAAATAGCTGTGAACTATTTAAGGACCATAGACCAATCATATGACTCAGGTGGGTAGTCATTTGGGGCAGGGTTGGGAGCAGTAGTTTCGACCAGTTGTGAAAATGAGCTGCAAAACTAAATGTAAAAATATACAGCATATTTCTCTAATTATTTCAATAATATCTGGGTGATCTATATTTACATACATGTATCAAGTGCAAGGGTTATATCCTTTAATATTATGTATTTCAAATGACACTATCCTTGTTTGAATAGATTTTTTTATCATTTTTACTGAATAAATATTGTTAAATATTTGTCTGTTTAAATTAGCAATACTAAAGAATTTCAATCCTCAAGATATACATGGTATTTTATTCATAGACCCACATAACTTAAATAACTGTATGCAGGATAGAAAGTAATCATTTTCAATAATTCAGCAAAATATTTCACAGTTCTATTAACATATGATGTTAAAAGAGCTAAACTTCTAACTCAATACCGTTCCAAATATTCGAAATTAAAAACTGACTGTGAAAATATGGGATCCTGATCCTAATTTTAAAAACAGTACACAAACTCATGTACTCTATGTTTTCGAGTGGCATTTGTAATGGACAAAGAAAAACATATTTCACAAGACAATGCAGAAGTAATTAAAAATGTCTGATTCATAAACAATAAAATAATAATAAAAACAAACTATGCAGGTGCAAATTCCCTTCAATTTGGTCTGTTTCACCGATCATTATTTATTAGAAATTACACATATATTTTTTTTTTTAAATGTAATGTAAATCATTTTATTTACATTTATATTACATTAATATGTGCTTTTAGACCCATTTTCGTCTATTTTAGTTTTACCAAAGAATAGAGCTATACACCCTTTAATGTATTTATATCAAGAGTTATAATGTAAATTATCATGTCAAAAACATCAAATTGCTCAATTTTATTTCACAACTCATAAACTAACTATATCTCAATGAGTCAGGCTCACTAGCCATTTAGTTTTTTTTTTAAGTTTGAGGTCAAACAGTCAGACAAATAAATCCACTTTCATATAGGTGTATCTATATATATAAATATTTGACCTATTGACCTCTTACATGTACTGATGATGTGAGATAAATTATTAACTGTATATATATGAAGAAAGGTGTCTTACATCATATTTTCCTCGGTTGTGGTCTAGCATAAATTTACTACCACACAGATACTGCCAGGCTTTAGGTCTTATTGATGATGGTATACCTTTTCTACATCGGTCTTTTACCTACAAATGATAAAAATTATCAAAGCCACTGATAGCCATTTGTAGGGTTATGAATCCCTTGCAAAATACAAATATTGTGAAATGAAATGAAATGGGGTTTAACGTCCTACTTTTCTGCACTGACTGGGATAATGAAGATGGTTATACACCATACAGTATGTTATGGGGGACATTTTGTTCTATAATTAGTTGAATCAAATGTTTATAATCTATGAATAAAAAAACACCAGTATGATGAACTGTCAACAGTAATAAAAACCCAATCTTTTTAATCTTACCGAATTCAAGCTGGGAGATGATTATCTAGCTTTGATATTTTTAGTTTTGGTTTGTTAAATATTATATATCGTATTGAATGAGTTAAAACTTTACCACTATGTTATCCATAATATTCAAAATTAAAACCATGAATTACAATTCAATATCAGTCCTTTTCAATCAATAATAATGTTGTTATCTGACTGTGAAAATATGGGATCGTAATATCCTATATTTAATGAAAATTTTAAAATCAATACACAACCTTGTGTACTCTAATATCATACAGAGATGATAATTTTAGATTCTAGAGCGTCCACAGGCAACTGTGGAAGACGGACAGGGGTGATGACTACATATGACCACATTTCACTGTGGATGTATCAAAAATCTCTTTTGAGCAAAAAAGAGTACTTTACCTTTTTGAACCGTTTGCTCATCCATTTTTCCCAATTTTCCATCATATCCAGCCATTTTAATTCTCGTTTTCGTAATATCTCTGGTGGTATTCGATGTTCACTACAAGAAAAAAAAAATGTTCTAATTAATAATTCAATGCCTAATGCTTATGGGGAGTTTGGATGACCGAATGGTTAGGACGTGCATGCTGTATCGTGAGGTCTGTCATTGAGTCAACTGGCTTGGCTTTGATTCCCCGGTTTTACATGACAAGCAGTAGGGTCGCCTGTCAAACCTCGTGGGTTTTCTCCGGGGCCGCCAGTTTCTTCCTACTGCTAAAGACCCCTAAATGCAAGCTAATTATTGAAATAAAATTGAATCATATGTTAGTCCTTCTCTAATGCTAATGTTTCCATGCTACTGTTTACATTTTGTAGAATGTACCAGACAAAACATATTTATGAATTATCAATAATAATAATAATAATTTACAATCAGTTACAATACAAGTTTATCATCAAGACATGACAAAAACAAAACATTTAATGAATTATAGCTAATCATTAAGGGTGATAGAGATACATCAATATCAATATCTTTAAAATTAAATTTGTTTAAAGTGTATAATCACTAAACAAAACCAATTCTACTCTTATACTTGTTTTATGATTATAGACTCAAGATCGTAATCTACAATGACATAATATAATGTGTTTTCCTAATAGCCAAACGACCTTCAGCCATTAAAGAATAAATATGACAATCAAATAAATGCCATATCTGAAACTCTGATATTAAAAACAAGAATGTAATCAAAACAAGCCTATCACACAAACTATCCAGTACAATTCATTGATTTTAAATAAAATCCATGACTTCGATGAATTAATTTTTTACTGAAAGTAGTAAAAATCGGTTGAAGAATCCCTGTACAGTGAAGACACGATTAAAGCTCAGTGATAATGTTGGCTATAAAACGAAAGAATTATACAGGTATCACAGGATTTAGATGATTAGAGACCCTTGGCTATTCCACTTATGTCCTCCCAGGGCCGGCGGAAGGAATTCTTGATTGGGGGGGGGGGGGCTTCCATCCTAGGTCCTAGGCCGCTCCTCCGAGCCTGCTCACCCCACCAGTTAGTGAAAGATGCTGATGGATGTTTAAGACTACAGTAAATGTAAGTAAGACTTATATACATTGGTCTGAACCTCTTAGATCTTGATGTCCTGGGCTTCAGTCTCCCAAGCCTATAGGTAAATATGACACTGTAAAGTACAGGTGATTTTCATGAACAATTCATGTGTTTATAAAGGTCTACAATATTTACTTTCTTCTGGTTGCATTAACTTTAATTTATTAAATAAATATGTCACAATTCTCTAATATTCAATCTGATATTTGTTGGCAGCATATTAGATTTAAAGTCACTGATTGCTAATTCCTTTCTTGAAAGTCGAATCTCTAAAAGGAATTCCAGTCCCAAATTGATCAATTCCATTCAATAATTATATACATCTACAAATATATGAGGAATTAAAATATTTTAATTGGCCTGTTTTTAATGTTATGGAATCCAAGCCAGGAGACAGTCTACCTATGATAGTATTGATTTTGTAAATATTTAATAAAATGATAATCAATTTAAGTACCATACAGATTAGATATTGTAGGAAAAATGCATAAGATGATCAGAAACTTGAATTATACAAATTAAATGCTAAAATGACGAAATAGCCCAGATAGTTTGAGCCATTTGGAAGAGATCACTGGGGGGGATCAACAGGATTGCGTAACTCTGAACTCATTTAAGGAATTCCCTTGTTCAAATATATTAGTGACACAGGAATAATCACAATCAGTTAGGTACCATTAAAATCTAGGCAGTATGTAGGCATTACTATCCAGTCACTTGGCAATTATTGAAACAGAAATTTTGTATTTCTGTCAAAAAACATGACTGGCTTTTAGATAATTGTACAGGACTATTATAAAGATTTCTTAGATTATTGCACTCATTTAATTCACAAGATATAGCTGAGGGTGGTTTCTTTTCAGGGAGGACTAGATTTAATGAAATGATTTGAAATGGGGTTTAATGTCCATTTTTGCACAGACTGGGCTAATGAAGACAGGCATATGTTATACAGTGTGTTATGAGGGGTATTTTGCCTGGACAGTACATTATGGTCTACTCTTATTTCAAATTCCAACTGTCAAGGGTTCTTTTATGTGTTCGAACACTATATCTACGCACAGAATAAAGTAATTTTAACTGAAATTTTTCAATATATTCATTTTTAATTATCTATTTTTGAACCTTTTCAAACATAATGCATCTTTAAGTTTAACATTAATTGTTTTAAAAAAAACACTCGTCAAAATTCAAATGCCAAACCTCAAGGCTAATAGAAAACTAACAAACACACACACTCCTTATTTTTATGAAGTACTACCAGTAGAAATTAAATTAAAAGAAAACACACTTTTGAATAGTTTGAATTCAGTTGCAATTCCCCAAATTCATATACATAATGAGTATACAAACAAATTAACTACGGGTATATATGACAATGATGAATAGTGAAGTGACTAGAGTTAATCAAAGTTATGTTAGGATTTCATGTCAGGTATGTTTAACAGTCTGGCCTATTTTTACATCATTTCTATCCATTGAAGCTATAAATACACAGTCAACCTATTTGTATAAGGGCCTTTCTTGTTTATTTGACGGAGTACAGAATCTCTTTCTTGCTGATTTCTGTCACAATAGTTTGAGAGAAAGAGATAGAGTTTAACGTAAACTCAACACAAACTATATCATTTTGGGACTAATATATAGAGAGAGAAATGTGGTTTAACGTCCACTCGACACAAACTAGGTCATTTCGGGACTAACATATGGTTTAATTTTATTTCAATAATTCACTTGAGCGTAGGGGTCTTTAGCAGTGGGAAGAAACTGGAGGACCCGGAGAAAACCCACGAGGTTGGACAGGCGACCCTACTCCTTGTCACGTACAACCAGGGATTCGAAACCGGGACTAATATATGGTTCTATTTATTTCAGTAGTGATTAGGGGTCTTTATAGCAGTGGGAGGAAACCAGAAGACCTGGACAAGCTGAGAATCAAAACTTGACTCAATGGCATATCTTATATTCTAAATCAGACTTGGTAGTACCATTCGCCAGACCCTCTCTCTCATCCGGCGCCCAAAAGTGTGGTCAATAATAATAGAATATTTAACATCTCATCAATACTAATTACACTCTGCTGCTCAATCTAACACTTACACTAACAGAGAGATCACTACATCACAAACTTAATTAATCGCAGCTAATTGATTGTCTTCAGATGAATAAACAAACCAACGCCACCTATAATTGTTTGGTAAACTCTTTTCCGTCTTTTGATGGGCCTCTTTTTAATCTGATCGAATCCAAGCCAAGAGCAATCTGATTAAAATACAGATTCATATTTCGTTTTGTTTTTTTATACTTTTGATGGCCTACACATGATGATCTGACCGGTTGTACTGGAAGGTCGCGTCAGGGGTCATATGAGCGGCTTTCGACCCTATGACATCAGGCATTGACAAAGCAATCAGCGTTGATGTTTCTAGTGGTTTACCCACAGTTCCATGCCTCCAATGCCAAGAACTCGCCTTAACAAACCGTTTCATTGGCTTATCCCTTACTTCAACCAGAACGCCAGTAATAACAACTCTTCCAGATCCTAGTGTAGTAAAGACTTTTTAAAACGAAATTTTTAACTATAAAAAAAGATAGGTTGCCAGGCAACAAAACATACGCCCACAGCAGCTAAATCGTCCAAGCAGTCGACAAGGGTTGTCACATATTTATTCTTTTGTAGGTAATTAGGGGAATTTAATAGACAATTTCATACAGATGACATTATAATTTTCGTCGTTTGAGGGTTCACAAGGTTGATAACTTTTGTCATTAGAGCGTTCACAAGGTGCAACAAAGTGAAACAAGGGCCATAACTACAGAAGAAATTAACGGAAATTGCTGAAATTCAATAGGCTTCTTCATTTCACTAATTTAAATGATGCATATCAATTTCAAACAGATCGGATGATAACTGTTGTCATTAGAGCATTCACAAGATTCAACAAAGTGAAACAAGGGCCATAACTCTAGATGTAATTAACGGAAATTGCTGAAATTCAATAAGCTTCTTTGTTTTACTAATTTAAATGATGCATATAAATTTCATATAGATCGGTTGATAACTTTTGTCTTCGAGCGTTCACAAGGTGCAACAAAGTGAAACAAGGGCCATAACTCCAGTAGAAATTAACAGAAGTTATTGAAATTAAATAGGCTTCTTCATCTCACTAATGCAAACAACATATATCAATTTCAAAACAATCAGATGATAAATATAGTCTGTAGTCTAGAGTGTTCACAAGAAATTGTGGACGATGGACGGACGGACGGACAGACGGACGGGGGCGACGACAATATACGACCACATTTCCATGTGGGCGTATAAAAACTAAGCAAAATAGGATCTGTGTTTTAATCAGATTGAGCCGGGAGCTACCTAACATTGATATTTTTAGCATGGATTATTTGTGACAATTACATATTGCCCGATAAACACAAACGGCCATCAGCAGGTTTAAGTAAAACAGACAAACAAAATATCTAAATCAGAACAAAAATAAAGGTATAATATTAATTAGTTTGCGTATTCTCTAAATGTAATTCATCGGTTTTTATCATGATAAAATAATATCCATACTCTTTGTCAGCAGTTTCAAGTAAAACAGACAAACAAAATATCTAACTCAGAACAAAAATAAAGATATAATATTAATTAGTTTGCGTATTCTCTAAATGTAATTCATCATTTTTTTCATCCCATATAACATAATATTCACACTTTTTGTTAATAGTGACGTGTAGCATGTAGTTGTAGTGGAACAGAGATAAAAGACAAAAACAAAAACATGTGTTTATGTTATGATGTGTTAACATTATATGTATAACTTAAACAATAGTTGTTTTTATTTATCAACAGTAGATTGTAAATTTCACTATAATGTTTATTGTGCACCATATGGTATATATCTCTGAATATATCAATGTTTA